GCTATCGGATCATGTCCTGGGCTCTACCGTTGCTGGACTTCGGAGTGCTTCAGGGCAAGGCCCCACATGGTCCCTAGTCTTGAGCTACGAGCAGGAGCTTCGCAAAGCCGCATATCGCTACATTCGTGATGGTCAATGCAGAGACTTGCGTGCTGCTCTTGAAAAGGCATGTGAAGCGCCCGAAGTTTTGACCACACACTTTGTCGTTCCGTTCACCTTGGGCAAGGTCGAGGATCCCGTGGACATGCCCGATCTTGCGAAGGTGCCTTGGCTGCGTCAGGGAAAAGGTGGCAAGGGCAAAGGCGGCGGCAAAGCTGCCCCAGATTGGGGGCGGCAATGGGGGAAGTCTAACAAGACTCCCGATGGCAAGGCTCTTTGCTTTAAGTTCAACAAGGAATCTGGTTGCAGCGATCCTTCTTGCCGTTTTGCGCATGTGTGCTGGCGCTGCTTCGGGAAGCATTCCTTCCAGAAGTGCAAGTTTCGTAAGGCTCCTCCTGATGCGGGGGCTGCTGACTGAATGCAAGTCTCTTCCGAGCCCCCTTCTTGCCCGCTGCTGCCTGAAGGGGGGTCTGTTGCGCAGCGTGCAATTGCTGCTCCTGGCAAGCGCAAATCTGTGGCCAAGGCAGATGAGGCCGCATCTGGCGACGAGGACGAACTTTGGAGCAATATCTTCCCTAGCCGTGCTTTCTCTGGCCTGGAGTATGAAGAAGGAGGTGAAGGCATTCGCTTCGCTGGTTTACGAGGGACAGGACCACCGCTTTTCTGTGCTTCTGGCGGTGCGCGGAAGCCCTTCACCGATGGCTGCGGTCTGTGCTCCCCTGGTCGTTGGCCTCCCGCCGCCCGGCAGGATGCATGCGAGAATGTGAAATTGTCCTTCCATCAACGCCTTGCGACAAAGCTGCATCACTTTGTGGGTTCCAAGCTCAAGGTGCGTGACTTGGCGTTTAAGCTTGCTGCAGGCGTCGTTTCGGAGTCTCCCTTCAGTGACGAAATGCTGAAGGAAGGCAGAGGCATCATCTGGGAGGAGCTTCGTGCAGTGGGATGCCAGCTACCTGTAGAGGAGAAAACCCCGGGTCAGCCCTTCTATCTCGCGGCCATCGAGGAGCTGCTGCGACTGGCGGGCGATCCGGATTCTTCAGCATTTTACACGGGCCAAGACTCGTTTGCGAAAGGGGTGCGCCTGGGTGTTGGTGTGGAGTTGCCCCGTGTGCCTGCCGTCTTCACTGCCAAGGACCGATGGAGGTCTTACGAAGATGGTCCTGATGGAATGGTACTGCGAGACAACTACGTATCGGCTAAGGAACATGCAGCAGAAGTGCAAAAACAGTTTGAGATCGAAGCGAAGTACGGCGCCATGTACGAGACGGACTTGGATGCTGCCTGCGCAGAGCTAGGCGAAGTGTCCGTCGCCTCGCTCGGGGCCATCGAGAAGAAAGATGGTTCCTACAGGGTGCTACATGATGCCACTCATGGCCTGTCCGTCAACAGTGCGATAAAAGTCCGGGATCAGATACGGTGTCCTGGAGCAGGGGACCTCAGACGTGCTATGCAGACTTTGCCTACTGCGTTCTTCTCCCTCTCGGGGGACGTGGCGCGAGCCCATCGCCTCGTAAAGATTGCGAAGCGTGACTGGAAGCATCTTTGCTGTCGCACAGGCGCAAAGAAAGATGATGTAATCTGGGTGAACTGCGTTGGAACGTTCGGTGTCTCGTCAGCAGCCTACCATTGGTGCCGTCTGATGTCTGGCCTTGGGCGATCTGCGTTCTACTTGTTCGGCAAGTTTGGATGGATGCAGCTTATCTACGTCGACGATATCCTGTGGTTGGTCGGCGACAAAGGCGGCATCGAGAAACTGGTCACACTTATCTTCTACTACTCTGTACTAGGGTTACCTTTTGCCTGGAAAAAGTTTTCAGGCGGCCACGTGTGCAAGTGGGTCGGCTTCGAGCTGTCGCTTGCTGAGAGAGCCTTAGGGCTCACTGAAAGAAGGGCACAGTGGATAATCACGTGGGTTTCGCACACTGTGGATGCAGGTGAAGTTCGGATGGCAGATTTACGTGCAGTGCTGGGCAGGCTTTCGTATGCGTTCACTGTGCTGCCCAACTTCCGTCCGCTCTTGGGGCCGCTGTATGCCTGGAGTGCGGCGATGGGAGCCTTCCATAGTCGTCCCTTACCCAAGCTGGTGATCGTGTTATTGAAGTTCTTGAAGGCGTCACTTGAAAGGCTTGGGAGCGAGCACTGCGAGACAGAACGCGAGCTCTTTCGGACAGATGCCCGTGCAGAAGGCGACGAGGTGTGGATCGGTGGCTTCGCGTTAGACAATGGCAAACTGTCAGAGTGTCGCTGGTTCGCAGAACGCATCTCGCACAGGACGGGCAAGTGGCTGTTTCTGGCTGGAGAGTCTTACCGTGCCATTGCGTCTTTGGAGCTTCTCGCAACCTTGGCTGCAGTTGTACTCTTTGATGTGCCAAGTGGTCAACAACTCGGCTGCGCGTGTTCGGCCAGCACCGACAATCGTGGAAACACGTTTGCCGTATCAAAGCTGTTGACGACGAAGTTCCCTCTCGGTGCATTTCTGTTGGAGCTCGCCATGCAGCTACAGATGAGATCGTCAGAGCTGCAGTTGAGGTGGCTTCCCAGGCTCCAGAATGTCGAGGCGGACAGGCTCACTAATGGTGACTTCACCGGCTTCAGCGACCACAAGCGGTTGCGGTTTTCGGTGGATGAGTTTAGTGGCGTGTTGCTGTCCGACCTGCTTGAGTTGGGATCCGATCTCTACGGCTCGATCAGAGAGGCCAAGGCGAAGGGCAAACTGCACATTCCGAAGACTCGCAAAGAAGACTCGCTCAAATGCAGGGATCCTTGGGTGTAGGTTCTCTTGGCATGTTGCTGCTTGGCGCTCTTGCTGCTGCTTGCTCTTCGAGAGTGGCAGTGGTTTTCAGCAGCAGCTGAAGCGATTTATCAGCATCGGAGCTGATGTCTTCATTGTTTCAGAGTATTGGAGCTCTGTGCGATCCACCAGTCAGAAAAGAGTGGGAGCCGCTGCAAGGGTGCCTCGTCTTCGGCTTTTCTGTTTCGGTTGGGTTTGCCGGGGTTGCTTTTGGCGGGGGGCTTGGCTGGTTTCTTCGGGTTTCTTGGATTGACGGCACGACAGGATCCCGCGGGGTGAACACTTGCTGAGCACGAAGTGGGATCCGAGAGTGCCTTGTGTCCTTCTAGGCAAGGCATGTTTGCTGTTGCATGTGGCGTGACATGTGTGATTGCTACAGCTGTCCGTGTGCCACTGTGTAGTTCGAGTGGTCTTGCTCGGTGCCTGCAGTGCTGTCGGACGGCAGTCTTGTTTTCCCACCCTCCCACCCTGTGTCTGCAGGGGGGCAGTGGTTTTCAGCAGCAGCTGAAGCGATTTATCAGCATCGGAGCTGATGTCTTCATTGTTTCAGAGTATTGGAGCTCTGTGCGATCCACCAGTCAGAAAAGAGTGGGAGCCGCTGCAAGGGTGCCTCGTCTTCGGCTTTTCTGTTTCGGTTGGGTTTGCCGGGGTTGCTTTTGGCGGGGGGCTTGGCTGGTTTCTTCGGGTTTCTTGGATTGACGGCACGACAGGATCCCGCTTCCGGCGACCACATAGGGTGCCTGTAGAGGCGAGGTTTGGGGAATGCGAGCCATGGTTTACACAGCAACTGCCCCATGATAGAAATGCGGTGTAGGCTGGGTTGCTGTAAAGGGGGGGATTCAAAACAACAGACGGGGCTCCAGTTTTTGTCTCTACCACAGGGTAGAGACAAAGTCCTGATTTCAATGGGGCCTTTGTCTCTACCCTGTGGTAGAGACAAAAACTGGAGCCCCGTCTGTTGTTTTGACCCCCCCCTTTACAACAACCACCCACATTCCACCACAGGTGTGGGAATCTACGAAACCCAGAAGGGTTCTCATGGGCTTTGAAATGGCTTGTCTGGAATTTTGACGGGTTTGCATTAGATATCGAACGGTTCCGAAAGGATTTGAGGGTAGATTGACGGATTTTATATGATGTTGAAGAGCTTGATCCACGTCTGCTGCTTTGACTCCACGCCTGATGCTTTGGACATGCGCACACAAAATCTATTCAAAACCACACAAAATCCATGGACATACATACAAAATCCACACAAAAAACCTTGCAAATACACACAAAATCAACGGATATAACCTTTTTTCCTTGCAAATACGGACAAAATCGTTGCAAATGCACACAAGCTCAACCAACTCCTTGCAGATACACACACACACACAAACTCCTTGCAAATACACACACACTCCTTGCAAATACACACCAAATCCATGCACATGCACAAAATCCATGAACACAAGCTGAAAATATTGAAAAACCCTTTGCAAAACAATGCAAACCCTATACACCATAGGCATTGTGTTGTTGTTGGGGTAGAACAGCAACATGACGGGGCTCCTGTTTTTGTCTTGACCTGATGTACAAACAAAAAGCAGATAGATGGGTTGACGGGGCTGCAGTTTTTGTTTGTACCTTCTTGTTGTTGCTGCTGCTGCTGCTGCCATTGCCGATGCTGTTGCTGTTGCTGTTGTTGCTACTATTGCTGCTGCTGCTGTTGTTGCTGTTGTTGTTCTTGTTGCTGTTTTCGCTGTTGTTGCTGTTGTTGCTGTTGTTGCTGTTGTTGCTGTTGCTGTTGATGTTGATGTTACTGCTGCTACTTCTGCCGGTGCTGCTGGTGCTGCTGGTGCTGCTGCTGGTGGTGGTGGTGGTGGTGGTGGTGGTGCTGGTGGGTTCTGTTGTTCTTGCTGTTGGGCTTGGTTCTTACGGTCGTCTTGGTGGGGCTCTCGTCGTGGTGATCGTGGTCGTGGTCGTCGCGGTCGTGGTCGCGTTCTCTGTCGCGGCTGCTGTTGTTGTTGTTGTCGTTGGTGGGGCCCCGGCGTCGATCTCCCGCAACGAGTGGAAGACTTGCATGTTTATTGCTACTTTTACTGTGGTGACTAGACTGAATCCGCAGGTGGCAGTCTTGAGCACTGATGTCTTTGGCACCAAGCCCCTTTGGTGACCTCCGCGATCGCCCTTGCTTCTGTTCGAACGAGACCTCAACAGAATATAACAGAATACGTCTCTGGGAGGTACTCCTTCTACGAGGGATTGCATGCATCTTCATACCGGTCGGCTTGCTCCCAAGCACCAACTATGTAAGTCATGGCTTGCATCCATCCAGCGAGCTTTCCTGAGGCCCTGCTGCGACTCGGAATCCCGGAAAATGAAATTCGAGCTGCCAGACCCAACGAGGCGAACAGCGGTTTGGACAAGCTGCGCTGTGTTGCTGACCTATTCAATGTCGGTTTTGTGAAGTGGCGTATCCCAACAGCCTAACAGAACGAAGCAGCGAATTCAAAGTGCGGGAAGTCCACACAAAAACTAGGCGGATCTAGGAAGGATTGCTGGATGTTTTTTTTTTGTTCGTCGGGGCCTGAAAGGCATCAGAGTCATTGATTGTCGTTAGTGGCCTCTTCCCATCTGTCGTGATGTGGCCTTCTTTCCCTCACACGGCTCCTTTTTCCAGCCTCGTTGCCAAAGCATTGATATTCCCATGCCTCAGTCCAACACGCCTTCCTTTCTGCCGCAAGCCAGTAGCTGGGTTTCAAAGGTCCTGCAGCTTACCCTCAGCTTCAACGCAGACGCTCCACAGCTTGGTGCGATTCTGGTCACATCGGTCAAGCATCACTCTGTGCACGAGTTCGATCTGCGCCAGTTTAAGACCTCGACGCAGGACTGGCAGGCTGCCTTCAGCAAAGCCGTTTGGAAGCGTGTCGCTGCATCAAACCATCCCATCTTCGTGGGACTCAGCAGTGGATACGATTCTGGGGCTTTGCACGTGGCCCTCGAAGCTGAAGCTGCTGCGCATTCAGTGAACTATTTCACTGTGGCCGCCGAGGAGCTCCCTGATCTCATTGACAGGCGTCTCTCTCACAACAGGTCGGTTTCTCGAGCCTTCCTTCTAAGCCTGTCACTCCAAGACTTTCAGGCAGAGCGATCTTGGCTTGAGCTGACTTCTGAGCCATTCCGATACGGAAAGAGCAATTGGGCAGGAGGATCCGTTCAAGAAGATGGTGCCGCCACCGGCCTTTCTGCGATATTCAGGCGTTGTCGGCAAGCCGGAATTCTAGTCTACCTTTCGGGGGCAGGAGCAGACGAAGTCATCTCAGACTATGGCTTTGCTGGGGTCAAATATTTTCCTCACAGTTCTTTCGGTGGCTTGTTTCCAGAGGAGCTAGCATCCATATTCCCTTGGCGATCCGTTTTCCTGGGGACACAAAGAGACTACCTGATGAAAGAAGAAGTCGTGGCCGGGAGCCATGGGATCGAAGCAAGGTATCCGTTTCTTGACAAGCGGGTTGTGCAAGAATTCTTGTGGCTCACACATACAGTCAAAAACGCTTTGTACAAGCGGCCTGTTCATGATTTCCTGTCAGCTGCAGGGTATCCGTTTGATAAGGGAAACAAAGATGGCTTTGCAGCTGGACGGAATCTAAAACTGTGGGGTGACACGATGGTGGAGGTGTTATACGACTCACTACTGTCAGTATCACGGCGCACCACCCAAAAAGAAGTTGAACCGTTGGGGCATCTTCGGAGTGGTCCGTGGCAGCTTGCTAGATCGCAGCTGGTCGCTTTTCTGTCTACACCAGAAAATGATGTAGAAGCAGTTGGCGAGCTTGCCGGGGCACTTCTTGCCTTTTTCCAGACTGACAGTCAATCTGAGCCTTTTGTTCTTGGTGAACTATGCCTGCAGTTGCTCGTCCTTCTCTTGCTCGAGCCGAGCTCCAGAATTGAAAGGACAACAGAGGGTGCAGAGAGCACTTTTTTTCTATCTCTCATCTTCTCAATGTCCTGGGAGGCAGTGATTTTGTCCGGTTGGCCGCTCTTCGCGCTCCTTGTGAGATTGGCAAAGGATGAACAAGCCCACGTCGGAGTCCCTGACGGAGACTCGTGTGAAGCTAGCGCAAACACACCCGCATCACTCGAAGCCGCGACTGCAATTCTGCAGACCGTCCTCCGAATAAGCGATGCAAGCAAAGCCGGCATTAGGCGAGCCATACCTTCCATTCGGTCAGCACAAGACCAAGTGGTTAATTGCTGGACAGAAGCTGCAGGCTTTCGGACTGTCCTGCAGAACAATCGGATGCAGAACCTCTTCGCTGCATTGGAAAGGTTGAGCGAGCCTCACTACCGGGTAAATCTTGCAGATGCATGGCATTTAGCTGGAGCCGCAGATGCTGGGGTGTGAACGTGAGGATTGCACCGGCGACTTCATGACCTCGAAAAGCATGATTCAGAAGGTTCGTGGAGGCCCAGGTCAACCATCGTCCAGGACATCAAGATTGCCGTGAAAGCAGAACAGCCGAGCACTCTTGTTTGCGCTTGTGCACCACCGAGGGGTGACAAGAGTTGCCAGAAATATCTTCACGATAAGTGGCAGCTATTGCAGCTCCGTGCCCGGGCATTGGTTTGCAAATGTTTGCAACAGGACGCATGTGACTCAGAGAAGGGTTGCTCGGAGACGAACCCGTGTTTAGGTCCAGACACTGACGCCAGCGGGCCGCAAGTGGAACGGCACCGGTCATGCAGCGTAGGAAGAAAAGTGGAATAAAGGCAGACAGGTGTGTCCGTGCACGTGCTTGGCAGTGCATATTCATAAGAGGCAACAAAAGAGCGTGCACCAGCAAATGGAATGCTATTTTTTCAGGTATGTGCAAGGATTTTCTTGACTCCTAATCCGAATCGATGAATCATGACGGCAAAAACAGGCGAAACCATCATGCAGAGCAACGACAATTGAGAGCACGACAGGACGATAGGTGGCGGATGCGTAGTTAAATGTTGTTGTCCAGACTTGGTCTTGCATTGCAAAACAAACCTCCGAAGCATGGCAGCAGCGGCCTCTGTGGAGATGTGGTGCCATTGTTTCTGAGGGCACGGCATTTCAAGTCGGGATGGCACAGCATGGAATGCTCGAATGGGCAGACGGAAGGCGACCGTTCTCAGCAAGGCCCAGCTTTGGATGAGCCTTTGTTGAGACTGTGTTGTGCTGGTTTTGCTGAACGTGGCGTGACCCCAGACCTCGCAGAGGGCCTAACCCTGATGTATGTCCCCAGTGCTTCGTGGTCACTCTGAGACAGTTAGGCAAGTGCGGCATTGTCTGGTTTGGAATCGGCAGTGAGTCCTTGTTGGACAGCCTCATGCATTGCTGTATATTGCTGTACCAGGTGTCGACGATAAACGGTATTAAGCAGAACTTGAAATGACGCTCTCCGGCGGACTTGCAACAATGACTCAGGTACAGCTTCGCAGAGAGAGACAAAAAGCACTAAGCCTGTCAAGAAGGTGATGAGACCTGTAACAGTTCCTCTAAAATCTATCACTGCCTTGCCGGAAACACACTGGAAGACACCACACCAGCCAGAGCGGTTACACAGCAGATGACTCACGGATGCCTTGAGAAACTCTAGTCACTCTGGCCATTCAAATCACTGCTGCAAAGTCCTCGGTGGCATTGGCTCACTCCGTCACAGTTGCTTCGTCGGTTTTGGCTCATCACGCTCTCTTTCAGAGCCTCTTCGACTGCAAGCATAGCGTAGCTCATGTGCCTTCGCCACCTCACATGTTGCCCTGTCTGGACAAAGCTGATCTTGCAATCAGAAACTTTGCAGCTTCGGTCGTGGTAAGCTGCCAGAAGCGAGGCTACAGAGGGCATGTGGCCTCATGGGGTATCACACAGAGTGTGAATGAGCTCCATCGTAGATCGAAAACTGTAGGAAAAGTCTTCGCTTTGGTCGAGAAGAGTGCATGCCAAGACTTGTGCACTTTGATATTTGTGCTTTCTTTTGCAGAGAAAGTGTTCTCAGCGATGTTGGTTTCGAAGTTGGTTGCTCTTGCTTCCATGCTTTGCAGATTTGAAGTACCTGAAGCAACAGCTCAGCACCTAGAACCGAAACCTGAGATGCGACACGAAGGGTAGTGATTGGAATAGGACCACTGCGTAGCTCGACTTGGCTGCTTATGTTTGGAAGGAAGCAATTCAATCATCCTGCGGAGACGTGTGTGTAGAGGCATGCTGCTGCCGCTGGTCGGCTGCGATCAGTTTGAGCATAGCAGTTGGCTTCGCATTGTGGCAGGTGACTTGACGGCAGCCTTTTTCGTGCAACGATTGAGAGGCATTCCCGGTTTTTTAAGGCTGCATGGTTGGCAACAGAAGAAGCGCACGATCCCCGCTATCTGCGTGAAGCTCGTGGCGCTGTCGTCGCTCGACAGTTGAACTAGCCGTGAATCGAAACAGTATATGAAGTTCCAGTATTCCATCAGCTGCTAATAGGCATCGTGTGTCTGGGCCATATAGTCGAGGACACTGTCGCTCTCTAACTCTACCCACAGAAGGTCAAGGCTGGACAACGTGAGAATCGAAGCCCGACGCGCAGCACCCAACTGCTGCCAAGCTGCACGTCAAAGGACACCAAAGGACCGTAGCTAGCGGGTTCGTTGATGTTTGTAGCGCTGTGTGGCCCAACTGTCCAGGTCACTTGCGCTTGAAACGACCACCAGCACCAGTCCGAGACAGATTGCCAGCCTCTTTGCTGGTACAGTAAAGCCCCTGGATTGGCGGACGCAGTGGTTCGTAAGTTGTGGTGTCAGAGAGGTCAGCTGCTTGTCCCACTTTGCGTTCTTATCTTAGGAACAAGAACAAGCCAGAGCCCAACGCAAGTCGTTTGGGAGTTCTGCTCCGGGCAGTTTCAGACATGTGAATGTGGCGGTCGTATGCGTTGGGGAACTCCTGACAAGTTCGAAGTCTTTGAACCCAAAGAAGCCCCGTGGCAGTGCGACTTCATAGCACTAGGTGACCCGGCGCCAGGTGACAACTCGAAGGTATGTGAATGTGAAGTGTTGGGCGCGAGGCCACGCGAAGATCTGGAGTGGGTCTTTTGCGCTAGTCAATTCATGTTGTGTGAATGTCCGGGCCGCATACGTTGGGGAAATGGCAAACGGTGGAAGATCCTGCAGCACCAGCACCTGCAACCTGTCAAGTGCACTACAGACCTTGGAGACCCGGCTCCAGGAGACGCCTGGGCCTTCCGCCGAAAGCGCGGTGTGTGCACAAATTCTTGTGAAACACTGGTACGCCATGTAATGCCCTGCCACTCTTGCTCCAGGAGATGCGGGGAAGCACTGTGAATGCGAAGTTGATCCAGCTTCAGACTTCGTTTCGCATTTGTCCCCGGCGGTCAGGAAACACTCGGCATCTCCAAAAGTCACATCTTGTGATATCTTCGAAAGCGCAAAGCAAGGTGAAGCATGGGATCGGGAGCAGTGGAAGGCTGTGGCAGGCCTTTGTTCGGACCCGGCCTTGGACCTGAATTTGCCGGAGGCAGGAGCAGATGCCATGAGCGTCCAATCACTGGCCTCGATGGTGGATGCATGGATCAGCGAAGGCTTCAGCAACAACTACGCGAGGCTATACAGAGATGGTTGGTTGGAAGAAGCATTCGTAAACTTCATTGGAAGTTCGCCAAGCCAAACGAAATGGGCCCAGATTAACGAGCAGCTGATACGTTCTGTGCATTTGTTTTCCACACGGCCCATCGTTGTGATTCATTTCGGGATGGTTACACCTCGCGAGTGGGATCCAAAGAAGTATCCTCGGCTGGTTGTACGAGTCTTAGCTCGCCGCAGCCGAATATGAAATTGAACAATTGCCAGAGAGCACAAGTGTTTATGCACCTGGCCTTGAGGTAATGCATGCAGCTCCATTTCCGACTACTGTGTTTCGTCGGTTCGACTTGAACAAGTTCCGTTCTCTGCTGATCGCGCGTGTAAAGACTGGTATCCAGCTGGACTCTGACCAGTTCGTTGCTCCACGGGTGGCACCTTCGGCTTCACATGATACGTCATGGGTGGTCTCTGTTTGATTTGATACTGTCCCATGCCGCATTCTTCGAACACGTCTTTCAGGATGAACTCTTTGGACGTGCCAGGGAAGAAGGCTCTGAGACGTATCCACTGCCGATTCTTCCCGTGCATTTCTTGAAGAACGAGCCCCGCGGTTGCACATCACTCCACCATCGGCTGGGGCCTTCGGAAAGGGATCGCGTAATAAAGAACGAAGAGTGATTGCAGACATGCTAACTAAGGGAATTGCCGATGTATCCAGGGCCACAAGGAGGAGTGACAATGAGTGGAGGGAAAAGTCATGCTGCGGAGCTGCACTGATGCTGGGGGGCAGCGAGACGGACATTTTTATAGAATTCGGCGTTTTTGTGGTGGGGCGAGTGGGCAGGGGAACTTGACAAGTTCGCAGTGGTGGGAGGGGAGGGGGGTTAGATGGACAAGTCAATGGTCGAATGTTGTAGTCATCAGCCTCCACAGCTGCTTGCAGAATGTGTCTGATGACTGGATGCACCCCTTATCGGAGGTGAGTGGCCTGGTCATTTCACAAGATAGTGGCTTGTGAGCAATCTGGCAGATTACTCGATACAACACGCCTGTTGCTACGACGACGGCTGCTACTATGGCTGATGCTTTTGCTAAGGTTCTTGGCTCCAGCTGAGATGAATGTGTGTGCTGAAATGTGGGCTCCACATCTGAAATGTAAGTTCACTAAAAGACACGCAGGCCCGCAATCCAGCACGGCTGTAGGCTGCATGATGGTGCACTTGCTTGTACCCTGCCGAGCTGTGCTCTTGACCGCCCATCTGGTGGCTCCACACTTAGAGCAGCACCAGGTCCCCAGCCAGACTGTCAGTGCTCCGGATTGCAACTGCGGATGCTGAGTCGCAGCCATGCTGCTGCTTCCTCCCACGCTACTGCAGTGTAAAGTTCAGGAGCAGTTTTCCCGCCTTACTGCGGCCGGCTCTAGCCCTTTCTGTGCCTGCGCCCCCAGTGGCTGCTCCAGCTCCTGCTGCTGCTGCTGCTGGTGCTGCTGCTCCTGCGACTGTGGATAAAAGCCCGCTGAGCATTCGTTGTCCATGGCTTGCCCGAAGTGTGCAGTCAGAGTCGAGCTGAGACGTTTAGGCAAAGTGTTTTAACTTGTAAGCCCTCAAAAGTAACAGCAGTAGAGGAGATCTTGTTTGGAGAGCATACCAGCGCGAATGGACCGCGTGCCAATGGTGATTGTCGGGCAGGCCGATGAGGAATACGTGCGAAAGACGTTGAGAGTTGGCAAGGTTTTGGGCTTTTCAGGTCGAATAGTCGCCAGGCTACAAGGCGACTCCCGCCACCAATGTGTTCGGAAGAGCGTAATTTTTTCTGCGATCCAGCGTCGCTGAGCGAAACGCGTCCAGGCCCGGCCGGGCTTCTTCCGATACGCCCACGGGTCTGTACTGATACTTGTACAAAGCTGACAAATTTGAGCCACATGAATACATGAAGGCATATATTGTAAGAGCTCGTGGTGAAGCGCAAAATCACACATATTTGAACGGATGCCGTCCGTGAACATGGTGCGATGTTGATGAACAAAAACATGCAACGAATCATTGGGTAATCATGGTGATCCTAGTCAGTTTGGTCTTCGTCTCGTGGTTTTGGGTGTTCGTGGTCGCGGTGGTCATCGTGGCCATCGTGTTCATTAAGAGACATAGAACTCGGCATGTCTTGCTCAATCTTGGAACTGGCACCAGACCACGCACGGTCTGCATACTGCAAATCTGTCAAAGGTATTCGATCGGTATTGCCGCAAGGGCAAGTGCAGCGTCACAACACGTTGGGGCCACGCACATCCAACCTGGACTTTCTGGGCGCTGCCCTTCGTGGGAACGTGGCTCCGCCGTCATCTGCGGGACCAGGGTTATTCTGTGCTGCAGGTTTCCAGCTTTCCTGTGTGGCGAAGGCGCGAGCTGATGCTAAGCTTGCAAGGACGAGACATTGCCGGCTGTCTCGGGCCCACAAACGGAGCTCAGGGTGACCAGCATCGATGTCGATGAGGTGACTTGACCTTTGAGTGTTGCACAAAGCTCCGGAGTCGCAACATGTCGCAACTTCGTTCGTGCAGTGGTTTGTGCAGGACTTGCTCAACATCGGCACCTGGGAAGAGAGGGGCCAGAAGCAGCGCCTCGACGGACAGTTATGGGACTTCGGAATGCTAAGCTGTAGGGAGTCGCAGCATGGGCCCTCAGCCGTCATTTTGTGAAGTAGTCACGCTGTGCCTTCTGCTTTTTCATCATGTTCGATGCTTTCGAACTGTAAGTTGCTGAGGTGGTGCAAATATGTCAGGCCCTTAAAAACAATGCTAAGCTGTGCATCCTGCACGGCCGTTGTGTTTGGACCGGGCAGACTCGCTAATTTGTGTACCGAAGAACTGTTTTGAAGTGTGTCGGCGACCAAGCGGTTGGAGCCATCATCTAAGTTATGACCGTGTAATGCGGAAGTTCAGTTGTCGTTTCCCAAAGCAGGCTAATTACCCTCGCTCCCACAATGCGATATGAGGATGTCATGGATCCGTCGGATTTCAAGATCCTTCTGCACGAGAGGGTTCCACCCCGATCTTGCAATCAACCGCCGCCGCCTCAGCCGTGACCAGTGTACGGCATGGGTTGCTTTGTAAATTAACCTATCCTTGCCTGTTAAAAACAGCTACGGTTTGTAGTTTGAAGATGTCCGAAGTTTCGGGACTTTGTTGGTTGAGTCAGGGCGCGCAGCGGCGCACCACCACGCGGTCCACTGAAAATTGTCGGTACCGACATGTTTGATCACTAGGATGATGCTTGTGCAACTTAGTTTTGGTTTCTTGTCGTCGCTGCCCGGTGTTACAGTGAATTTGATGATCGTAGGAAATTTACTGTGGGGTTTAGGTGCTTTGTGGTAAATGGTTATGGAAACCGCTCACTTGTTCTAGCATTGCTCTTGGAGAACACTTTGGAAGTACGATGATGCTTGCCGCGGGCCGCGGGCATGTTTGATGCATTCGTCTCCAAACACCAATGTGCCCGCCAGACTCCTCCAGCCTGTGCACTTCCGTAGGCAACAATGCGGCTATACATGGGTGCACATTGCAGAATGTAGTGAGATCCATGGTTTTGACTCTGCGGACAACCATGATCTTCACCCGTGTGCATGCCTCAGGAGGTATGAACGAAGAGCTTGCGTGCTGCTCCGCAGGCCGCCGATCGGTGCGGATGCGATTTTCCATCCGGCAGGTGCCGCGCAGGGACCTCAACCGATGTGCATATGTAGAACTAGAACGGATGCTGAATCGGAATGTCCGTCGTGTGCAGACATGCCAAGGCTAGTCTTCTACACTGCTCATCATGCAGTGGATCCCAACATATCTGCATCATTGATCGACCAACTCGACAATCGCTTTCGATCTGGGAAGCTCCCTCCACCTGTATTCTTCAAAGGCTGCTTTTACCAGGACCTGTGCTTGTGAATGCTGGCAGGCATTTTGGCACATTACAAGTCATTACAAGTTCATGTGCCGTTGAAGGATGGCGCCGCGCTCCAGCAAGCCCACCCGGATGTGCGGTGCCTCATTTGAGATGCGCTTGTGGGAGCCGCTGTATCGAGTCCAAAAGCTGAATGAGATTCACATGCTTTCCGAATGGCTCCAGCCCCCTCCCCGATTCCCTGGTTCCCTGTCGGCCAGAAGTACGAGTGCCTGATTCAGGCCGTTTACGACCTATTCACAGGTCATTTTACGGCTCAAGTTCTGACTCGTTGTGAGTAGCAAAAGCCAGCAGCACCTCGCAGCACCGCCTTGGTCCTCTTGGAGAGATGGAGAGATGGAGATTAGCGCAAGTGTCCTTGAGGATGCCGCGACGCATCTGAAAAGAGATGGTTTCGCCATAGTGCGAGGCTGTCTTGATGCTGCCTGGCTACGACGTCTGGTCGATGAGTATGAAGCTCGAATGCAAATTTTGGCTTAAACAGGCTTGCATATCACGAATCCTGTAGAAAAGATGGACTGAATATGAAAAACAGGCAGAGTGGAGTGAGATGTTCGCCCATGGCTTCAACAGTTGGCTTCAACATGTTTCAACCTACCCTGCAGCCAAGGAAGCACGAGTGGTGCCATTCAAGCACTCGTTTGAAATTCGTCGTGAGCGTCATGGCGCTGAGGGCGAGGATGGGCTCGCTAGGGTTGTGCACATTTCCAACATGCACGAATTGCCTGGCACCTTCACTGCATCTGGCTTGAGGTAGCTTTGCTAAAGTAGTTCTTTCATGACCAACCTCGACAAATTGCCGTACGTACTCCAGGCTTGGCGCACCTCGCAGCCGACTGGAGATTGCTCAAGGTAGCCTCAGCATGCTTGGCAAACAAAGGCCTGGCACTGCTGTTGGATAGAGTGCTGTTCGCAGAAGAGGTATTCGACATTCCGATGTCCAGTAAGCTCAGGCGTCCGGCCCATCATCAACATTGAGCTTTTCGACAAGCCACCCTTGGGAAATAGCTCCACTGCAACGCCGCCCCACCAGGCAGGCAGTAAAGTTCCCTGACACTCCTGGTGGCAGGTTAGGCGGCCATTTCATCGCTTGAAAGCCACTAATCTTCAGAGGGGCGCAGGTAGACATTCAGATTAAGTTAGAATCTTAGAATCTAGAAAGCACGACACGAAGCGTTGGTGGTTCCCAAAACGCCTCTGGGCCAGAAGGCTGGGTGTGGCCTGGGAATCGGGTGGGAGAGGGTTACACGCCGGTGAGCAACGCGGCCGCGCCGGGGAGCATTGCGCGTGCTACGTTGCGAGCCCTTTTGGGCTGCCTTGGGCTCGTTGTCGAAGAGTGTTTTCCTTTGAGGTGATGGCCTGTGCTTTGCCACTAAGGGGCTGTCCTGTCGTGCTAAGGATGTTTTCTTAGGTACCTTTGGGGAAGCAGAGCCACTTCGATGGCATTGCTTTGGCGCGATGGGGGACTCACGAGTCCCCGCTTTCTTGCCGTACCTGTACTCCTTCGAGTATCTAGAAGATGACGTGCTACGTTGCGACCGCGGTCTCCTGTGTTGACGTTGTCTTGAGACCTGAGGTTTTAAAGTTGCCCAGGCCTGGCCTGCAACACACCAAGCTCTTGCAACACTGTCGGGGACACGTGGGGGTTAAGACGAAACTTATGATGTGCACAGCAGCTAGGAACCACCACTCCAAACTTTTGCAACCCCCGCTGGTTGCCATGAAGCTGCAGGACACGACCAGAAGCTCCCGACATCTTAATGTGAAGTGTACAGGACAACTTCTACTTCAAGGCCTCCGAGCCCGGCATAGCCTTGTGGATCGCTTTGGATGTGCCCAGTCTGCGACGTGGAACTAGGATTAAACGCACACTACGTTGAAGCAGATGCGCATGTCTGGAATATTTTCTTTTTCCATTGGGCGGACATTCTGGACAAAGGACATGGATGACTCAAGTGGCACTTTACGCTACGTGCTCGGCAGTCATTTGGCAGGCTTGCGTGTTCACGAATGGGACTGGGGCCCAGCTGGGTTTGCCAAGAACATCTGCCGCGAGCCCAGTTCGTGTGGACATCCATGCATAGTGGTTGTCACACTTCCACGTGCTTTCAGATGCCGTTCCCTGAGATGATTATAGTGATGCTGACGACGACATGGAGCGATCGGCTGGGCACCTTGATCCCGGAGACGTCGTGGTGCACCATGGGCTGACTATTCATCATGCATCGGCCAATCTCACAGCCAAACGTCGAAGGGCTGTGACCATCAACTATGTGGCGGAACATGTTGCCCACAGCATCGCGGATGATTTGTACCAGCTGCTGGCCTAATTTCAACGTGAATGGGTGAATGTGTGCAAGTTTGGATCAGACTACTCAGGGGCGTAGGGGTCCAAGATGTCCAGGTTTGGTGAATGTTTTCTCTTGCTGAGAGCACCATGTGTTTACTCTTGAACGGTTTGGTGTGCAAGCCTTTTGTTTCCGAAGTCTCAACTTGGGGATATCGTACTGCTCAGAAGCAGTCCCTAACGTTTCCAAAAGGCATGCTTACCGATGAAACGGCATAATTGTGCCCCAGCCGATGAGCCGGTCTGCTCGTGTAACCTATTTGCACAGTAGTTTGCAGAATCTGACATTCGGAAGCTCGTCCAAAGCTTCAGGGAATCCTCTCCGCCCCTCCAACTAAGGCCAGCCCTCGTTTTCCACATCGTGGGGGAAAGCCAGCTGACAGCAGTAATGCCCACGTGGCCCGAGAGACAAGTATTGGCCAGCACGGCTGTCCAATGTGCGCTTGCAAGACCGCAGTCTTCCAGCATCCCTGGCAGAGTTTCTTTCGAAGACGACCAGCTTGTCTTGAATATCCACGGATGCCTAGAAGAAGCTATCGAAGCATTGGTGTGCTCGGGGCATGCAGTTCTTGGGAGGCGATGCGACTTGCATCAGACTTCCATTGCTGCATCCGAAAAGGCTGCAGACCACAGTGGAGTCTGGATTCTGAAAGATGATGTTCTTGAAGGAATTTGGATCCAGGCTTCTTGCGGAGCTTTTGTCGACATCTGCTCACCGGTGTCTTTGCGCAAGGCTCGGGACTGTCCAGATACGGTGCAGGGGGCACGTGGACGTCGAAAGATGACGCCGAGACGTTTCTGCAATGAAGGTTGAGCAGCCAGACACCGCTGCCGTTGTGGAGCAGCATGCGGCAGCCGGAATGTTGTGCGACGGTTTGCGTGGAGCTTTGGCCTTAGAAACGGATGGGGAAGCTTTCCCAACCCCTTCAGTGAAACCTTGACATTCTTTTCCTTGACGAGGTCTACAAGCAGCTGCTAACGAGCTTCCAATGTTCATGGCGTCCACAGCGGATTGGTCTGCACAGCGACGAGGGCGACTCAGGAGAGACAGCCGCAGAAAGGTTGCTCCAAGAGGCGACTGTCCAAGCTCCGCGTGGAGACCTAAGTAAGCACTTGAAAAAGGGACTCCTCCCTCCTGCACCATACCAGCGCGTGCCGAGTACCGAGGCCAGCTCGTCTGGCATCGCGAGGCAACCAGTACTGCCACCGTTGCCACCGTGCTGCGGCTTGAAGGCAGGCCTGGATGGTGGGTTGCCGCTCAGAGGCAGAGGAGTCTTCGCTTCCGTTTTGCATCTCATAAGTTGGAACAATGTCCTGTAGGTCAGTGGCAGCTGGTGGGGCCGAGTTCTTGGCAGAGAAGACCATGATATCGTGAAGCGTGTAGGCTGCAAATCGCTTTGGCATTTGATCTCAAGCTTTTCTCAAGATCTGGGCCTGGACGAGAACGCTGCCATCCAGGGCTGCCAAGCAATTTTCGGACGCGTTGAAGCACCGGGCATCCTGCGGATTCTGCAAAGCCTGGGAAACGACCCAGCCGGTCAAGCCGGGCCTCGGCCTCAGAAACGCTTTGGGGCATCTCATCGTTTGGGTTTGGGGCATTATGTCCAGTCCAGGTAGAACCGTTATATACGAACTCAGCCACACTTTTTATTTTGTTGCCTTTGGCATCTCCGGCTTTGGAGCAACATTGCCAAGGCTCGTAATTCTTTGAGGCCGTTCCTTCGTTTCAAGTTTCTGTGCCTTCTTTCTACGCAGAGTGTAGCGGGTCCTTTGGGGCCTTGGGCTCGTCATGCTGGTCTATGTAAAGAAATCCTGGAAGGTGATAGGCTGCCCTTGCATGTCTGACACCCGCACTGCTGCAACGATGAACAAAAGGTCCTTGTTTCTCGATGGATCTTCGAAGTGGCTGATTCGTGCAGAGCGGGACATTCTGAAGGAGTCATGGTCAGCATTGGATTGGAGAGTCATCGCCTCTTGGATTGATCCCAGAATTTCCTAGCTGCTTGCGCAGGGAACCCTTGTTGACAGCGCCTGGCCCTACGAGCCAAGCTACAGTTTGATCAGTTTGCAAGGATGGTCACAGCGGCCTTGCGCCTCTCGGCATTTCTGGTCGCTTGAAGCGCAAACCAGCTGGGCCGCCGACAAACAAGTAGAGCGAGCCGTGCATGAGAGGCAGCATGCCCTGGCATGGAAAAATTCAGCTGCGGCTGGGCAATCATGCCATGGTGCAAGTAGAATACATAAAAAAGCAGGAAAAAGTGTTAGTCAAAGTACTCACAGCAGCTGCCACATGCTACGTGGTCCCGAGCCTCACGGTTTGCGGGACTTTGTGTGATTTCCGCAGGCATGTTGCCCAAACCGGGGGTTGACCCTAGGGTTCTAAGTAAAGGCCACTTCCATATTACTGTCCAGGTTCCACGTCAACGACGTTGACCTGGCTGATGGTTGCATGGGCGCTCTGTTTCTTATGGCTGCAACCAATTAGTGCCATCAAAGATATGAGCGCGTCGATCAGTTCATCTGGCAAGATGCGGCTGGACACAGGTCGCCTGCTGGAAACAACCCCCCGCTTGCTTAGAAAGGAGAGACCTGAAGTTGCCCTATTGGCCACAGAGCCAGCATTGGGACGAGCTCCGCAAATTGCTCAAAGAGCACCACAGAAGGCGAAAGCTCCAACAGGCCAAGGCGGCCAAGGCTTTGTGTCTGCTCTAGGAGTTGCTCCGCAGCTCGAAGTGGGAAGCATTCAGCTGGCAAACGACAGACCAGCCCTGGGCAGTTTCTCCAAAGCACGCAGACGAAGCGAAGCTGCCTCGTCTTATGAGTCAACCACAACTGAGGAGAGGGAGGGACGTGAAGAAGCCGGAGATCAGACAAGCACCAGCGAGACCAGCAGCACCACTGCAAGTAGCACCGAAGAAGCCGAAGCCTCAACTACAGACGAAAGCTCCTCCGACTCCGAGGAGTCTGAGCAGTCTGAGGGAGAAGGGGAGGATGCAGAAACAACCTCTGAGGAGCCGCAGGACGAGCTCGAAGAAGCTGCAGATACCACGACAAGTGCTAAGGCGGCAGCCACAACTGAGGCAGAGACAGGAGCCACGTCCTCCACGACTGCGCAGGTTGAAGAGGGAATGCAGGACGAATCTACGACCAGTGCAGAGGAGGACGAGGAGTCTGCGTCTAGTACGGACTCGGAGAGCACCACCTCCAGCGAAAAAGAGGAGGAGGAGGGAGCCAGCGGAGCCAGCAGCAGCAGCAGCCAGAGGCCGGAGCCGGAGCCAACAACCTCCACCAAGGCAAGTACAAGTAGAAGTAGAACAACCACAAAGCGTACAAGAAGTAAACGCGGGCGTTCGACCAGCACCAGCACCAGCACCAGCACCACTACTAGCACTACCAGCACAACGTCAAAGACCAGCACCACCGCCACTACCACGAAGTCGGCGCGGAAGCCTTCCAGCAAAGCCGCTTCCACAACTGCTGTCAGCAAGAGAAGCACAACCACCGCGCAACCTAGCTCACCTAAAAAATCAACCACATCAGCATCGACTACTACACCTGCGAGGGACAAGCCACGCACTCAGACGACGACCAAGAAACCTGGCAGAACAACATCTGCACAGCGCTCTTCATCGACGACATCGACACGGAGTCCTAGCAGCAGCACTTCCAGAGAAAGCACGAAAGGTACGTCCACCACGCCGGTGGGTAGCAGAACGGCATCGTCAACAGTTTCAACTTCACAGACATCAGCCACAACCACGACAACTACCTCGACTAGGTCCGTCCGTTTGTCCACAACGCACACGGCAACTCCCACAAAAGCACAAGATCTCACCACGTCCGTGTCTACTAGCGTGCTTGCGAGCACCGCTGCGCAAGCCGAGCCGAGTGGGACTGCATCGTCAACGACTCAGGAAACAACGCCGATCGCAGCCCAAAGCTCCTCTACCACCACTTCGACTACCACGACAAGCACCACCTCCTTCACTTCTACCACATCCCAAACAAGCACAACATCCACCATCACCACCCAAGTGCTCACAAGCACCACAAGAACCACTGTGACTGTGACAACGACGACTGACAGGGTGGTTCCTGTATGCCAAGGACCAGCATTGGTTTGTGATCCTAAGGAGGCAGACCCGTGCAAGTACCAGAACCCGTGTCGGAGCCCAAGGAAGAGTGTGCCAAGAGTTTTGCACGGCCCTCGTGCATGATCCGAGGCACTGGCTACCAAATGTGCCAAGAAGGTGTATTTAAGCCGTGTGTGGATTTCACCAACGGTGGAGAGAGTGGTTGCGAGCTCTCTCAGGACAGGATTGTCACTCAACCTATGTTACGCATTGCTTTCTCGCCGTTTCGATGTGTAAGCAATCATTGAGCAAGCATTTCTGACAACAGGACGTTTGCGATGGCACCAAGCTACATCCACTTCTACTTGCTCGATTGTCGGCAGGACTTGTCCAATAAAGGGGGGTCGAGCAGCCAAGACAGGCCTGCGGCAGGGCAGTCATCCTAGTGGTATTTGAGCCATCCATTTGCAAAAGAGTACCTCGCTTCTGAATGTTCTCCCATGTTTGTTACATGTATCAGGCCGATGATGCCAACCGCCGATGTTGCCCTGGAGTAAGACAGTCGTGGCTGGAAAAGTGATCAAAATCTGCTGCTCGTTGAGATGTGTCGCACACAGGTTTGAAATATCCATGCCTCCTGCGCTTTAATTCTTTTCAGGCGCACAGGTCCAAACATGTCAAAATTCAGATGGCAGGCCGCGATAGCACCAGTGAAGAAGCGGGTTGTTGTGTCATGGTAAGTGGCGACCAAAAACTAATTAAGCGTAATAACACATAAAGAGACCTCCTTTTGGCTCTGAAAGTTCTTGGTCAGTAGAGTTGTTCTTGGACAGTCTTTGCTTCAAACTTTTTCGGGGCTGACCCAGGGGTCGCAGTCTCTGGGATGCGACACGGTGTAAGCAGGACAGGTGACCTGGTCAATTGTGGTTGTGTGAATGCCGTTATTCGATGCATGTGTTCGTCAACTGGCTGCTGTTCTGGCCCAATACGATCGTCAAACCAAGTTCTCCCACGTGTCGTTAATGTGGAGAACATGTTCCTTGGGAGCAGCCGGTGTTGTAGTGTACTGGGTGTACTTAGGTTGGCCTGGTTTTCTTACCGAGGTGCCTCTGCCGCTTGACACGGACACTGGCAGCCACGATCAACTCCCTCCTCGAGGCGAGAGACAGTGCCGTCTGATTGTAGACATTCTCAAGAATGAAGCCTGTGAAGTGACTTCCAGGTTTGCTCCGACTGTTGCGTTTTCATGCACACGGCCGAGGGTCGAAGACAAAAGGCCTTCACAGTCCAACACACGCATCCTGAGACGCGACCAGCCTCTCGGGTTTCGCAGGGTGTCACACACACCTTAGAATCATGGAAGAATCGTTCCCGATCAACTTGGAGCATAAAGTCCAGTGTCGCTGTCGGGGTGAGGATGGGCACACGGGGGGTCGGGGTAGTATTTCTCCAGACATGAAGGTCCACCGAGTGACTTGTAGCCTAGGGACGACGATCTGTGCCAGGGGCGTCAAGCTCTTCGAGTTCCATAGTCCAGGCCTGCAGTTTTAGTGTGGCTAGCAGCTGCACACTTGGAGGGACCACGCACAACCAGGATGGGCACTGCCTCCCATTGGTTAGGAAGTAAATCAAAACAAGGACGTGCGTCATGTCAGGCTACCATGCCTCGCATTCTACTAGTGGTTGTTCAGCTCGCTTTCGCACCAATCTTACTTGCCATGAATTCGCAAGCAAAGGCAGGCCTTGCGTCTGAGTGCAGCCAGTGAGTGCTGACCTCGATACCTCCACTCAGGCCATGAAGAAAGATCATGTCACCACCGACGAGGCTGCTTTCACAGAGGATGTCGCATCTGGATTTGTGTGGAGCACTCACGAAAAGGGGCCATCCCCGGCACCGCTGCTGGCTGCTGCCCTTCATTCTATTCAACTGTCTGAGGTGCGCATGAACCTCGTATGACTGTTAGTCTCCTTCTTCTTTTCTTGGCAGTCAAGATGAAAAACTTCCTTCTTGCAGGTGGCACCAGTCAGAGAGCTGTCCTTTATGCAGGCCAGAACCTTCGACAGCGTGACGGGCCTGTAGCGAGCAGTCGACAAGGCTTATATCACATCTATCAGGGATGCTTTGCGTTGCAGCACGCAGCCGGAAACCCACCCCGAGCACGCAATGCAGGCAGGCAGGCAGGCAGTTCCTGGAATCGGGGGAGCCGTGGCACATCTAGAGGCACACGTGGGAAGCGGTACCGAGCACGAACACAGCTCGGGTTGAGGATACCAGACTTTTCTGCGACGGTACCGAGAACTCTCGGTGAACTTCAGAGAAGTTACAAAGACTGTCTCGCCAAGCGCTTCGCTGTACCCGGCGGGTAGAAATGAAGACTTTGTTGCTTTCGGGCGATTTTTTCTGTGCAGGTCTCCTTGGAAGTGCAGAGTCGCTCTCCCAGGAGCGTCTGTGTGCTTCGATATCGAGTCCACGTCACGTCAGACACCGCTGCAGCGTTTCATCCCTTTGTCCCTTGTATTCGCTTGTCTGATGGGGGTGGACGGAGAGGAGCCACGGAGACCCCGCCGTGGACTTCAGCAAAACCCTGACAGACGCAACTGATGCTGCGCTGGAAGCTGCGCAGGAGGGATGCGTTTGCATGCTTCCCGTGCAAATTCATGGATGCATGACAGACATGAGATGACATGAGCCTTTTTGCGAGAGTCTTCTACAGCCACTCCGCAGGGAAGCCAGATTCAGTTTCAAGATGTGAACCTGAGGATGCAGGCAAGTCGGCGGTGCACCTCTCGGAGGTCGCATCAGAAGCAGCCCACGTGCCTGGCCCGGCCTGGGGTCATCCGGGGTCTTCCGTGTCGATTTGAGCCAAGCTCCAACGCCTGTGTCTAGCTGTCGAGCTCAGGCAGCGGCGCAAATTGCCGTCACGTTGCAGCGGCTCGGCAATAGACGGATTGGTGTGCTGCGGCCGAGCCTTTGCCACCGCGTCAGGTCTCGCGATGCCGAGGCCGTGAACTGCAGAAACACAGTTCATGGAGTGTCATAAGCTCGTTTTCTTCAAGGCCTGGCCGAGCAATGCAACAGCTGTCCAGGACAGCAGAAGTTTGACGCACTTGAATACATCTGTTGCGAGCCTTTCAGTGGTCAGGCTACGCCCAACCTCGGAGAGCTCCCTGGATCGCAAGATGTGTACCATGTTTTGCAGTCACGAACAGTGAGTTCGCCACGGCGTGCTGCTTGCCTGAGGTCTTTGGCGACAAAGCTATCTGAAGAATATGCCGCCCCTGACTCCGAACCTCTGGATAAATATGAGAGGATGTCTGCCCGCCATTCGGCAAATCATTCCAAGGAGATCCGTCGGCCCGGGGCGAAAAACAGCTGGGTGACTCAGAGTGGCACCACGCGAGCCTCGAGCACACCACACTGACACCCATCCAAAAAAGCAGGGAGACGCTGGCTAGATACTGAACGATAAACCGTGCGTATCCTCAGTCATGTCTGACTGCACGCCGCCGAGGCAGCAGCACAGCGCCAGCGGTGGCGCCCGATGCTTCCCATCGTCCGGCGGCATCCTGAGTGTTGTGGCGATTGTGATTCTTCCCTCATGTTTCGAACATCATCGAGATCGGCTGTCATGGCTTTGTACGCAGGTCGTGCGAAGCGGAGAAGTCATACATCGCACAAGCCAGGCGTCATAAGTTTCTTGCGCCGAGAGTTGCTTCACGTTACACCAATCCAACAGTCCTAAATCTGAAATCGTGGAAAGCCCAACCGCAAAGCTGGCTTCACGCCTGCTTTGCGGCTTGTCTGCTGGTGTTCTTGGTGCACCTGCAATGCTCGGCTGCTAGCCGCTAGATGCCGCTAGCCTAGTACGGCCCAACGGCCAGAGCTTTGCCTCGGCCAGATGAGAGACCTGGCGGCTTTTCTCCGATGCCTCGAGGACCTCACACGACAGAGATCAGAACCGCTTCCAAGAGATCAGAGCTTTGCAGGAAGCCGTGTGCACCAAATACGTGCTGCTGCGAGTGGCCTTCCTGTGCCTTGGCATCCCTCGGCATGTTTCCCGAGCCTAGGCCCAGCCCAGCCTTGTACTCTGTTCCTGCCGAGGTTGCGTTGCGTTGTTGTTTCAGAAAACCTGCGCATCCTTTGTCCGTCCGCACCTTCCATGGCTGAGGCTTTTGGGTTGTTTGATCTTGCACGTGCTGCTGCCTGAGCCAGCGGCAAGCTTCCTTGTCTCAAATTTCGGTTCATACCAAATGACTCATTGAAGTCAGGATGAGATGTGGCCTTCCTCTCATGGGCGTCCCGAGCTTGAAGCTGTCCAAGATGCATCAAACGGGAACCACATTCTTGCACAGAAGGTTCAGAGCACGTCTGTGAGCAAGCAGGCACAGGGCAGCAGTGCAGCACCTGTGAGGTTTCGGGCGCATGCTTGACATTGCTTGACCTGGTTGCATTTGCAGGCCTTGAAGTCCCAAGTGAAGAGGCTGGTCTTGGACATTGCGCTGAATGAAGCCCGGGTCAGCTGTGCCGCACTGAACCTGAGGTTCAACATGGCACACGAGCGGTACGATCCAACACTTTCGGCGGGTCATCCTGATTTATACGAGCCGGGATCCCGTTTGACATGATACACGGCTGCAAGCGGAATGGTGTTTTGTCAAAAACGAAGCTGAGTGCGTTCGTCAAGAAGCCATCGTGGCTCCAGGTTACAAAGAAGCCTGTTGCCAGTCCGTTGAGGTAGTAGTGAGGTGAGAGCCTCTGGCGTCTCGGGCCGCAGTGTCGGATGTCAGCAAGAGCTTTAAAGCTTTTGGCAGACTCCCAACAGTCAGAGGTGGCCCCTGCTCCACCAAGCCCAGTCCTTGGAAAGCTTCGGCACACAAGCGCGGGCGTCTTTCTTCCATCGGCCCCTCCGGGCCTGGAGGCTACAGGGCATTGCTCTGAACAAGTGGAGGGGGCTGAATCAAGCTCTGGCAGCACATATTTCGATGATGCAGAGCTTGCACCGTTTCAGAATGATGCAAGATTCTGGGGTCAAGCTCAGCTCGAGGGGAGCCAGAACGCGCCGACTATGATCCTTGCCACTACTCCTTTGAGCCCGGCAATTGCCACAGACTGGTCTTTCCCGTCCGTGTGCCCATGGGCCGGAGCCATGGCCCAACTTGACATGTACCCCGGCTTCGACGACGGAAACTATGCATTGCCAGAAGCGCTGCAAGTGCATGATGTGCATGTTCCTGTCCCGGAGCCTCCACCATCGCTCCCGGCCACCCTTGGTTCAGCTGCACATGAGGAGGGCACCTGCAAGCCCTGCGCTTTCGTCTACACGAAGGGCTGCCAAAGTGGTTTGTGCAGACCTCAGGGGTTCTCCGATCGGCAGAGCAAACACAACGGAATGATGCCGACGTATCTGCTTCGCAGAATCTGAGGCACTGTGCATTTTGTCACCTTTGTCCACCTGGCGAAAAAGATCGTCGAAAGAAGGTGAAGCACATCGTGGCAAGGCTGGGCCGGCTGGGGGTGGTCGTGCTCATAGGCCAACGTAGGGCATCACTCGTGATCCTCGCAGGATCAGACGCAGGGCCAAACCTGGTGCTTGACTGCTCCACTACCAGCTTAGATGGCACTCGATGAGCGTCGGCGATTACAGCTGGCAACGGTTCCTCAGACAGGAAGTTCTGCCCTCTTCCCAGCATGCACTAGGTTTGAGCAGTTCGTAGCGTTTCACCACTCAGCAGGTGATTAATGTTTGTATTTCTCTCAGACCTGTGTCCTGCTGGTGCCAATCCGTGACCAGGACATGTTCCGCTGTTCCAGCTTGTTTCCAAACACAGAGGCATGTAGAGCTTCACCAAAGTGGTGTTCTCACAAAGCGCTCGTCGGAGGATCAAGAATGAATCAAACAGCTGAGGTTGTAGAGCTACGTTTGCGAGATTGATACAAAAAGGCACTTGCGAATTCTGTACATGTTGGTTTCTCTTTTGTCGTGCTGGGTGTACCAACATACACCCACCAAGGCCCTCACCTTTTCACGACGACAAAGACAAGAGGCACAGGTTGAGTGGCAAGCGCTATGCTTTCCTGGAGTCGCCACTGTCAGGCGAGCCGTGACGGGCGGCGAGTGATTTCTGAATCTAGTTCATGAAGTTCCGATTCCCCATGATGGCATTTGGAACACGCTGTACATACTTCAACCGTATTGCAGCCGGTGCAGCTTCTTCAGGAAGCCTTTGAAACCGTGATGATCCTTGATTGCTGTAATGATAGCTGTCGGACTCTACACAGCGAACTGTCAGGCGAGATTCCTGCATTGCTTAGGGAGGCTGCAGCAGGCGGTAGAACGGCAGGACCACCTTTGCATTCTGCAAGCTGCTCCAGCAAAGTGATCCGAAGGCACGAAAGGATTGTAACTCATTGAATGCACTGCTGTCTGCCGCTGCTGTAGGTTCGTGGGCTGTCAACTGCGCGTGTTTCCGTCGCTGTTGCATCTGGTCGTGTGTTGACCCAGACGAGCTTACGTCCAGTGTTTGATGGTATTGCGTTGGACCAAAGTGCATGGCCCGGCCCGAGTTGCGATGGAGGCACCGGAATCTTTTGTGAGCCCGCCTTTAGCAGCGCCCAGTGGGCCGCGCAGTGCATCACGGAGAAGTTTCCGGAGGGCCGAGGGCATGCCCCAAACGATCAAACCAGTGTCACATCGTCAGGGACGTTTTCAACCCTCAGCAAAACTGGCTGCACGAGGTAAAGGTCTGCAAGCCACAGAGATTTCAGGCTTGCTGCATGGTGCGCCTATTGCAGCGCTTGTCAGTACGGAAGATTTGATGCAGAAGACGATTATATACCATAGTCTGCGAGACATCTGCTCTCTGAAAGCGTCTTCCCGGCAGCTGCGTGATACCTGTTCGGTTGATGCAGTCTGGAGAAGTCTTTATCGCTTGCGATGGCCGCGTGAACAAGCAGGGGACGAACTGCCAGTTGCATCATGGCGCCAGAAGTTTGTCGAGCGGCTTCGTCGCACACGCGAAGGTTTCACGTCTAGGGGACTGCCTGCTCTTATGCAGAAGTCACGGCGAAGAGATGGGCTGCCAGACCTTCGCAAGCTGCACGAGTCACTCCGCGTCCACTATAGCCTGTGCATTGCAAGGAAGGCCAATACGGCACGTTTCGAATTCAGCGACGCCTCTGTCCAGGCGTTCGACTCGGCGGTTTGCTTGAGGTGCAGCTTCTCATCCTTGCAAGTCGCCTGCCCTTTCCGACTGGAGTGCAGTGGAAGGTCGTCTTCAACCGGGAGGGAGGAGATTCTCTTGGCAGCTGCCATGGACCGAGTAGATGACTGGGGAGATGGATTCGTTAAGGAAGAGCTAAGGCTTGTACGAAGCCCTTGCGGAAGGCTTCTCGTTGCCTTTTGGAGAAGCAGCAGCACGCTTGCGGCTCTGTATGCGAATTTGACCTACAGGCATGTTTTCCAGTCTTTGCTGCCTAATTGCGAAGCTTGGGAGCGTTTGGCGGGACGTCCTGGGCCCGATGACCTGGACTCTGCACTGGGGCTGCACGGCTACACTCTGCTGCTGACCCTTCGGGGTGCGAAGGCGGAGTGTTTTTCCAATTCCTTCTACAAGATTGCATCTTTCAGGCTCGGCCGTGAGCGAGCAGACAGCTTCGGCAGTGCTTGAGCCTTGGAAGCCTGGTAATGGAGCGGCAGCGGAGCACCTTCTGAGTGTGTGCCCATGAGATCGCATGAGGTTGCAGTGTCAGGCTCTCACAGCGTTTTGCTCTCAGTGCTTGTATCACCAGACAAGCCAGATTGTGTACGCGGATGTGCCTACCCAGGTAATTCAGACACGAGATCCGGCAAATTTGCCGGGAGCTGCGCAGGACCTTGAAGCGCTTGATTAAAGCCTCAATCATGACAGCTCAACCGTGATGACATGGAGAGTGAAGCATCAGCTCAGGATGCCGGAAGGGCAAGTTTGTGCGCCGATCAACGGGTAAGAGAGAGGAAGCTGCACGCACAGGCATCTGTGCACGAGCTGGTGCACACCACCACATGGCAGAAGTGTGCCATCTCCGTTTCTAGTGCTTTCTGACCACATGTATATGAGTTGTGTATAAACATATATGTAGATGATTATGACTAATTATGTATTGATGTATACATGTATTTCTGTTTCTGTGTTTGTGTCTTATGGATGTATGCGTGTATTTATGTATGTACATAGAGTCTTACATTACACGTAGGAGAATAGGGGTATGCATGTCGTACTTCGCTTCTGAATTCAGTGGGTATTGAAGCAGTTTCAGTATCACGTTATATCACGTTGAGAACTGGTAAGTACTAGCTCCTGTATCCAAGCCGTTCTGTAGATTTAGATTCGCTATGTACTGTCACACGCATATCACAGCCCGCATGCCTATTCCCGGAATCACCGTGCGAAGGCGTAATTTCCACATTCTACACCTTGCCTACGAACTGGAAAGTTTGTTTCCGCACGCAAACGGAAATTTTTCAGTGTTAAACCGGGCAGGATCGTGATGATGAAAGCAATTCCACTTCACACCGGACACCAGCAGCCGTCGTAGAACACAGAGAATGTGCAAACAGAAGGAGCAAAGACAACTCCATCGAAAGCTGGTGTGGTCAGCGTAATGAACGTGCTTTTTGGGTGCAGAGCCGCTAATGTGCTTTGTGCAGACAAATGAGCAGGTGTGCCATTTTGAAGTTCTTGCCCCTCATGATTCCGGGCTTCAGCCGGCGTCTCCAAGCTGAATAAACGTGAACATGTCACATGAGACTGTCTACATTGCTGTTTGATGTCTAGTGCTAGTGTTATGGAGTTCCACATGCTATCTCTTTCTGACTCTTCAAGTGTCCCAAAACCAGGTTCTCCTGCACCCGGCAACCGGGCATTGCATTTCAGACAGCCGCCTTCAGGCTTTTCTTGCTGAAGCCTCGGCATGGTGGAGTGATGTTTGCAGACAGTTTGTCAATGAGCTCGCGAGAAAGGGCTGACCATGTCTTTGTGGATGCTACGATCTTTGACGACCACGGGCGCGTGTTCTGGGCTGTGCAGGGATGCTTAGTATGTGCAGCCTGCAGCTCCAGCTTCGTGAACGTGGTCGAACCTGCTTGAAACAAGGACTTGCTTCTGCACGATGACATCTGCACATTCCTGAGTTTGTCGATACTTTCCCAGTGAACTGCTGCAGATCCAGCAAGGGCAACCATCAGCTAAACTCGATCAGGCTCTGGTATGCCTATAAGGATCCGCACAAATACACCGGGTGAAAGCGATGCTCTTGCTCACTGCCAACTCCCGGGGTAGGCTAACCTTGAACGAGTCACATCATGCAGCTGCGACACGCGGCTGCAGACACTAAGCTCGCAGCGAGCACTCTTCATGTTCTCTCCTCTCTCCCTCTCTCCCTCTCTCCCTCTCTCCCCCTCTCTCCCTCTCTCTCCCTCTCTCTCCCTCTCTCTCCCTCTCTCTCCCTCTCTCTCCCTCTCTCTCCCTCTCTCTCCCTCTCTCTCCCTCTCTCCCCCTCTCTCCCGCTCTCTCCCTCCCTCTCTCTCCCTCTCTCTCCCTCTCTCTCCCTCTCTCTCCCTCTCTCTCCCTCTCTCTCCCTCTCTCTCCCTCTCTCTCTCCCTCTCTCTCCCTCTCTCTCCCTCTCTCTCCCTCTCTCTCCCTCTCTCTCTCCCTCTCTCTCTCCCTCTCTCTCTCCCTCTCTCTCTCCCTCTCTCTCTCCCTCTCTCTCTCCCTCTCTCCTCTCCCTCTCCCTCCTCCCTCTCCCTCTCCCCTCTCCCTCTCCCTCTCCCGCTCCCTCTCCTCTCCCTCTCCCTCCCCATCTCCCCTCTCACCTCTCCCCTCTCCCCTCTCCCTCCTTCCCTCTCCCTCTCCCGTCTCTCTCTCACTCTCTCTCCCTCTCTCTCACCGTCTCTCTCTCTCTCTCTCACTCTCACTCTCTCTCTCTCTCGCTCTCTCTCACCGTCTCTCTCGCTCTCTCTCCCTCTCTCTCACCGTCTCTCTCTCTCTCTCTCTCTCTCTCTCTCTCTCTCTCTCTCTCTCTCTCTCTCTCTCTCTCTCTCCCTCTCTCTCTCCCTCTCTCTCTCTCTCTCTCTCTCTCTCTCCCTCCCTCTCTCTCCCTCTCCCCCCTCTCCCTCCCTCTCCCTCTCTCTCCCTCCCTCTCCCTCCCTCTCCCTCCCTCTCCCTCCCTCTCGCGCCTCCTCTCCCCCCTCTCCCTCTCCCTCTCCCTCTCCCTCTCCCTTCGCTCCCTCTCCCTCTTCCATACCTTCTCCTCCCTCTCCCTCTCGCCAGCTGCCCGCTCTCCTCTCCCTCCTCTCCCGCTCCCTCTCTCTCTCCTCTCTCTCGCTCCCTCCTCGCTCTTCCCCCTCTCTCTCCCTCTCTGCTCCCCTCTCTCTCTCCCTCCCGTTCCGCCCTCCTCTCCCCTCTCTCTCCCTCCTTCTTCTTTTTTTCTCCCTCTATCTCCCTCTATCTTTTTTTTTATCTCTCTCTCCGTCTCCTCCTCCCTCTCACTCTCCCACTCTTCACTCTCACTCTCACTCTCACTCTCACTCTCACTCTCACTCTCTCTCTCTCTCTCTCTCTGTCTCTTTCTCTTTCTCTTTTGCTTTCCAGGTTCCGATCCCTAAGCCACAACACTCACAGAGTACAATTGGAACCGCATGCTTGCCCTCACCGCCCCCACCTTGAAAGACTGGAGCCAGAAGTGCGGTGTAAGCATACAACAGAGTCGGTGCGTTGCCATTTCTACTTTGCCTGGGAGTTGCAGCAGCATCGCCAAGCTGCCGAACGGCACACAGCTAATAAGCCCCCTGCAGGCTAGAGCAGTGATTCGGTCGAAGCCCAGGCTTGCTCTCACGAGTCGACCATGCTGGAGGAGAGAAAGGCACAGGTTACTTGCCGACTTAGCACTGACATCTGCTTGAAAAAGCTGTTGTATCAGTAGTTATAGTCTGTATTAATCTGACATTCATGTGGGACTGTTCCCAGGTGGACTTTGATCGGGAAGGCCGTTTGCAAACATCTTCGCCAGCTAGAATTGGCTAGTAACTAGTAAGCGACTGCAGCAGGCAATGGCAGTGGAGCGTGCCAGCAGGCTGTCCTTGCTCCAATGGTTGCTGAGACCTGGGCGGGCTGAGTGTCTGACAGGTGAGATGGATATCGCTCGCAGATCGTGGTGCTGCGCATCTGGTGCTGCAGCCCGGGGCAATAGCTTTCACTCCTGCAAGCCGTCTTGTGCACTTCATCAAGTTTTCTTGGAATCCTGGCCGACGTCCATGGTTGACCTTCCAAGAAAGCCATGATGTAATTGGTGCAATTAATTTTTGCATCGCTCTATGCCTTTCAACCCAAATTCGCCATGTGGAGGGCAGACTCGGGGTGTTGAAGCATTCCAGATTCCAACTTCTGGTTACAATTGTTTTGCCGCGCACACCGAAGTTGGCAAGATCGGATGCATGACCTTCAGGGTTCACGAACTTCTTGTAGGCTTGTCTCCATTCAGTTTTGCCAGCAGAAAAGTTTCTTGCAAGAAGAAGAAGAAGAAGAAAGTCTCACGAAGACGTCTTGGAGCGGTTGAAAGCGAAAAAACAAAACAAGTCTACATTGAGCGAAACTCTCTTGAAGCTTTGCAAGCCCAAAAGCTTGTCCCAATTGCGCAAACATTGCATTTGGAAACCATCAGATTGCCAGCCACAGCTCTAAAACTATTTTAGCAAATTGCAAAAGAACATCTCGCTTGTTGCTTTTGCTCAGAACAGGTTCCGATTCCCTGAAGCCTTTCTACTTTCTTGAAGTCTCCCCTGAAGGCTCCTTTAAGCTGTCCCTTCATGATCGTCACCTCACTCTTCGTCAAGTCAAAGGACTCTCACATGCTTTTTGCCATGTCCAAAAGTCCAAAAACAATCGCTGTTGCTGTTTGTACGAAAGACGTGCGGTCTGCCTGCAGCCGAGTGATGCAACACATGCTTCTTCGCTTCGACAGGCAAACTACGCAAAGCATGTCCAAATGCCATGGCAGTGCTGCTGAAAAGCTTCGAAAAACGTGCTGCTACTTCAATATCAAGCTGATCACATCTCCAACGCCGCATTTATTTCACTGCTTTCATCGAGAAGATGTGTCCCAACAGCTCAGATCTCCTCGACAGCGCTTCTGCCCTTGATCTCAACGAAAACTGTTGACCAAGCTGACGCAACTCACAAACGCTTGTCTCGTGAGCCTTGCCATCGCGTAGCAGACCTCGGCCAAGTTTGAATGTCGCAACCACTTTGTTTCACCTTGTGCAGTCGATAGTTTCTTCTCTGTTCTTTCTTTTTTGCTTCTTACAGGGACCGAGCGCAGCAGCCGCTGTCACCGAGGCCCGACCACGGAACAAACAAAAAACTCCGCAACAGCAGACCTTCTGGCTGAAAGAGATCTCTTCAGCGAACGTCATGCTGGTCAATGAAGCACTTCCACTCTGGTAAGGAAATGGCAGCCTCTAGGCCTGGTTCACCCGAGAAGCCAAGGGAGCACAATGTCGAACCAGACTCAAACTGTACCGTTCAGACTACCGCAGCAATCGCCTCATCCTTGATGGCAGCTGGACCCTTTGGTGGAGCACTGTTGCTTTTCATGATGCTGAGGCTGGAAGGGGCAGCTCAAGCGCGTGAAGCAGATGAAGGCGACGTATTGCCCTGTGAGACCCGATCTTTGGCAATCCGCGCGGTCGCCAGAGGCGGCGGAGTTGCTCAGCCGCTTCCACGCCTGAACAGTATTACTTGGCATCCAGAATTGGCCTTTTTGGATGATTGGTGGCGGTCTCAGGCTGCCAGCAGCTTGACTATGCTAAACAGGTACGGCACACAGTGACCGCAAAGGTGGGGGTCGTGCTACGCGGCCATGCGCTCGCCTGACACTGGCTGAGTGCAATGCCCGATGCTTTGCCAAGTGATTGGGGCCGAGTAATTACATGTCGAAACTGTTCAGATAGGTCTTGTCGTCGTCCAAATGATGCCGAGGTGAGGCGACCAGATGTCAGAGAAAGCATGGACGCCAGGAAGACTGCAGGAAGTATTCACGTGCCCCTTACCTCGGTTGTTGTCTGTTGGCATTCTGAGATGAGTGAACGCGCTGGACAGACGCGGATCCACTGGCTTAGCGACATCTGTTGCTGTTCGGGTATTCGACACTGCGAGCACAAAGTTTCCAGAGGGATGTTCGTCCAGCCAAGCTCGGTCGTCTCGGTGCACAACGGGAAGTAGAAATGGTGTAAGCGGAGAATCGGTGCTTGGCGGTTCAGTACAAAAAAGCACAACCAAGTCCAGTGCCGGTAGGCACGCTGTACATGGTCACACCGTCTCAGGAGAGGTGCCCTGGGTAAGTTTTGCAGTCGGCGTCCTGGTTCATCGCAAGTGAGATCGGCAAAGGCTTCTTCACCGTACATTGAGGCCACGGGTTGATTCTGCATCGACCCCCGGTGCTGCGTGTCAGAAAGACTGGCGATGCAATATGACCATTGTTCAGGTCTTGCAACAAAAAGGTTGTACCAGTCCAGCCGGTGCGAGACTCTTGATGATGGCACGGCAGAGAGAGAGAGAGAGAGAGATGCTCTGGTATTGCCTAGAGTGTCATGAAAGGGACAAGTGAACATCGTCATCACATGAATCAAACTATCTTGCCTTAGCGCCAACGATGTTCATTGTTCTTATGTCACCCCCCGTGTCCGTCAATACGACGGGTGGGCATGATGCCCGGGGGCGCTCACCCGCCCTGATGCCCGAGAGAGAGAGAGAGAGAGAGATGCCAGTTTGACCCCGAAAACCTAACCTATGCAAACATGTATCAGGTGCTTCGAAGATACCGGGGGAAAACATGCACTTTTCACGCCCCTCCCAAAGCCCCACGAACATCGGGGGGGCCTACAAGGCCAAGGGGTTCGCAACCCCTTCATGCCCCGGGGAAGAAGAGAGTCCAGCCGGTGAGCACGCAGACACCTCAGGCAGGGACTTGGCAAGGACAGGATGTTTCGGTGGTGTTTGGTGAACATGAAGGACTGCAAGCTCTTGCATAGGCTTGTTAGGAACGGAGCCGTCGTTGCAGACCAAGCAGTTTTCTTCGTCAGCTTGTGTATTCATGTCCTGCTGCCACACGGCAATTGCCCCCAAGTCCAGCTTGCTGTTGTCATTCCATGACGAGGGAAAATCGTTCCGGACATATGGCATTTTAGAGGTGTTTCCGGACACTGCGCGCTTCGGTGACAAGTGCTTCGTGGCTGTGTTTGCTGCTGAGCGTGGTAGTTTACTTCGCCGACGCCAGCATGATCGATATGGCTACGGGTCAGATTGTGTCGGACGTAACCAGTGCACTTACCTGAGCTTGCTCAGTTAGTTCCAGAGCCAGAGCTCGCAAGAAACCGCGAGAAGTAGGAAGCCGCTGCATCGCGACCCTTAGATAGTCGGTTTGGTATTTTGTGCAGCATGGTGCCTTTCTGAAGCTTTGGATTCTGTACTCCTCCTCGCGAAGCCGGAGGCAGCGCTACTCGATTCATTTATTGCTTGTTCCACTTGGCATTCAGTGCCAAAGGTACAGCATGCGACTTGCAGGCGATGCTTCTTTTCCGATGGGTAGCCGCAGCAGCCATTGCCACCGTTCAGCACCGCACCAAGTTCGGTCATGTTGCTTGCATCTCGCACCGGAGCAGGCGGCATGTGACATGGCAACTCATATTGTGCAAACGTTCTGTCGAAACCCTTTGCTGCAGCTGTCTGCTTTACCCGAAGTTTGCCAAAAACCGCCTTAGCCTGCACTGACAATGGAGCCTTGGCAAAAACAAGCGCGCAGATCTCCACGCGTGTCGGGATCTGATCTCTCTGAGTGTTGACCGAAGGAGGCACGAGATGCCTTGACCGTCACCACGTCTGCAGACGAAGCGAACCGAAGGACGAGCACATCGACAGGCCTCAAGCCGTCACGAGCCTGCGTTCCATCGCATGACTTATCGCGGCTTGCTCGGTCCTCATACTTATGTTGAAGATCATTGACGTTCGCTTACCAAGTCAACTTCGATCACGCCTGAGATATGCATGCTTCTGAACCGTGTGTGAGTTGGTCAATGCCTCGAGTGTGTCTAGTGCTCCTGCTGCTGCTACGTCGCTACGAATGCTACCACGAAGACAACGACTGCTACATGTTTGTTTTCGATGTGATATGCCGGAATGCCTTCACATGCAAGTGTGGGAAGAGGCGTGGCAAGTAATATTGATTTTTGCGAAGAGGTTGTTTTCGGATAAGATGTCCCCTAGGTCACCGCGAACTACAGCCTCGCATCGTTTCCGACAATTTTCATATTGCAGGTGCATCAATCGCACGACAGTCCAGGGCTTCGCGCGTACAGAAGTCATGGATTGTGGGAGAAGAAGCAGATGGCGCCATTGCTGCGAAGCTGGAAATAGTCCGCTGCACCGCAATGCTTGGTGCCACGAGATGCCACGAGCATGCTGCACACCCTAGGTTCACGATGCCGTGCAAGCAGGAGTGCAGGAGCAAGAAGCGATGCGCATTGCTTGTTGCTTGCATTTGGCGGTAGTCTTCTTGGCATGCGCCGCGTGTTCGTCCATCGTCCACAGGTGCTGCCTTGCGGCTTCAGTTAGGCCAGAGCTTCGAATATGTGTATCAGGTCAAGTGCACAACACGATTCGCCACTGTCATGTGTGCGCCTGCCTAAGAGCTAGTGGAGGTCAGTCAAGCAGCAAGGTCCAGAGACGCAAAGTTTTGGCATCCTAGGTCATCATTGCAATTGTCAAAGTATCCATCTATTTATACACCGGGGCTGAGGTGGTCAGGACATGTTCAATCATGGCTGCATGTGGTTTTCAATTCCAGAAGCAATTGTGCGGATGGGTGGAAGGACGTCTGCATTGGATTCGCTGGGTGATCTTATGGCGAACATGATCACGCTCCTCGTCATGGCGGTTTTCTAGCAGCGTGGGCAAGAGTAGTCGTTGTGTGTGACTTCCAGGCTTTACACGGGCTATCGCATGACCAATGTGGACCTCAAGAAGCAGCCCGATGCAAGAGAGACTTTCTTGTCCTTCTTTGGGAAACGTAGGATGCTTCTGTCCTCGTGTCCCAGGTATCCAGTTGGGCAGAAGAAGTTCCAAAGCATTGGCTGCCTCGCTCTCCGCATGCAAGGCAGCTGTTAATGTCGTGGCTAACGAGCATTATCGAGAATCTGCGCCAAGGTATTCAGCACACTCATGTTCGTCTCTTCCTTACCAGAAGTGATTGCAGCAGACGATGCGAAGATGGCCTCAAGATGGCCTCACTTCGCTTGAACCCCTGGCAAGGCGCTCATGTTCGGAAACGCCTTGGGGTCTGCTGGCCCAGGTCTTGTGGTTGTCGTCGTTGTCGTCTGTAGCCCGCGAATTTCCGAGCATTGTGCTGCCCAAGTAGCAAGGAATCTGGAGAGCTTGGTCGAAAGCAAGGATGACATCGGCTACATGGCAATCACGCGGCCGCTTGAATTCAACAAGATGTACCGACAGTCCGTTTGCTGGCAGAACTTGTTTGCAACGATTCTTGCTGTTGCCTGCGCTGGTGGCGGGGCGCCCATCTCAGCTAGGGATAGGCTGTGCGGGCGAAGTGAGCTCCCGGGCTTC